GGATACATATTGGGGGGGCGGGGGGGTAAGACAATTATGTCAACTTTTGACCACCTCTTGGAGCTATATCAATGGTTCCTCACCACTGTTGAAACTTTTTCAGGTTATGGTTTGCCATTCTTGTCTGACTGGTTAACTCTAGTCACACTACTCTGGCCCTTGAAATTAATTCCTGTGATGTTTTTGGCATTCCAGACCATTTATAGTTCCATAATTGTACACCTTTTGTCAAAACGTCTGTACTACAATGGGTCAATATTCAAGATACCCAATGGACATTCCATGCTCCCTACCATCCACAGGCATCTACAGCTTCCTCAAAATTCCACTCAAGACAATGTATGACTCTACCTCCCTCAACTCCTCCTGGTTCACACACCTTAGTAAGACAGTTTGGTCAGTGAATGTGGTGTAGCCAAAAAGGAATCATCTCTTCTTGTCCACTACCTGGGTAATGATCAGGATAAAAGGCATGAAGAGTTATATGATATTACACAGACCTATTTAAAATATCCAGATTCTACCCTGACCATTCCTGGACATGACATTTATCTTCATTCCTAGGGTAAGATGATGGGGAATGAGAAGCATCTAAAACAAAGAGGATTTTCTAATTATTTAAATTTTTCACATCTGCAACCATTTCAGTTAAATATTCCTCCAATAATAAAAATGTTACTTTTCAAATTGCAGGTCAGGACCTAACAGTGGATCATAAAAATCAGTTGGTCACAAATGGCATTTTTAATGGGGAAGGGGGACAGAAAACCACAAAAGAGAATATTAGTGCACCACAGGTATATGACATTTTTGTTCGACTTATATCTATGTCCATACAAAAATATCACATAAAATTTACTTCTTAGTATGGGTCACCATTAGAACAGTTCAAAAGCCATTGCCCAAAGCGACAGACATAGAATCAACCACATGCAGTTTAAAATTTCACCACATGATGGGGCTAAAATTCTACACATCTCAGTAAACTACCAAAGTGCAGTTCTGAAAACACTTTTCTTAATTCAAATCCCCACATCATCCATACAAACAAATAAATGAAAGATTTCCATTAAGCTGAAACAGCAGTTAATATCTGTTCCATTTACTCAGGACAAGATTAAAAGGGGAGAAATGATAAAAGGTAAACAAAAATCTGGGGCAGAAAACAAGATACATTAAGTACAAGTGGGAATCTGTGAATAATAATTTAAGAGACAAAAGGACGATAACGGCAGAAGGTATAAGAAAGGAAGACATCGCTAAAAGATCGTGTATGTATGTGTGTGTGTCTGTGTGTGTCAGTCAAAACCAGGTTGCGTAAGATTTAAGGAAACAGTTTCAAACACTGCTAGTTAAGAGTCCAAACTGGTAACATTTTCTGGAGGTAATTTAAAATACTCTGATTAGGCAATTCCAACTCTCAAAATCAAAATCACCATCACCATCATCATCAATCAGTGCCTACATCCAGATCGGCAAGAGTGAGATTCTAGAAAGCAGTAAGGATTTCACCACGCATATCAGCAACTGTCAATCTTAATCTCAGGTTAACATGTGAATGAAAACATAACTTCCTTAATGTTTTGGAACTAACTTTCCAGGTGCTGGTAATTTTTATTGATCTAAGTTAGCAGTGAAACTCCTTAAAAACGAAAACAAGCCTTATACTTATGCCAGACAATATGAACAAAAAAGAAAAGGAAAATAAAAGGATAGGCAGAAATCCATATGCATCCAGGCTCTGAAACCGGTCTGGTAAAAAAAAAAAGTGAACCAACTAAAAAATGGATAAGAACAGCCAGAAAAGAAACAAGGGAACAAATTCAAGACTTACATATGAGGAGAAAGGAGGCAGAGAGTCAGTAACTAACAAGTGATCTTTCAGTAGAAGTCTCCATTTCCTAAAAACTTGGAATCCCTTCCTATAGTCTATGAAATAAAATGTTTAGTCTCTTTACAGAATTCCAAAGTGAGTCCTATGGAAAGAGAGCAGAACAGGAGATACTGAATTCTAGTCTAGGCTCACATTAATCAGCTATGTGAAAACAGGCAAGTCAGATCCATCATCAAACTCTCACATTCTACTGTCTAGGAGAATTCTGTCACACCACAGCAGCTTTTTCAACATATTATGGGTCAAATTTATTAAGATCTGACATGTCCTTATTGGGGAACAAATTACCAAATTATAAAATTGTTCCCATAAGAGCTGTTTTTAACAAACTGCACTGTAAGAATTGCCTGTAGTCCAAAAGGCCCTAAATAAATGCCTCAGCGTGGTACAGCTTGATTAATAGGCAAGCAGATGATCAAGAGCATCTCTTGATTGCTTGACCACTATGGAAAAAACAAAGTGGAAGATGGCTATTAAGATTGGTTCTAACCAATTCCAAGGTCCCAAGCTACTGCTGAGACAGTTTTCCGCATTTTATCATCTCTAAAACTGGGCCTGCTTCTTAAAATTCATACACATTAATTTAACTGGCAATGTTTTTCTTTCTTAGTGGTACAAAAAGAGGGTATCTTACAGTAAATGACTTTACAGATTAGATAAACTATGGTACCTTTAGAGTAATTTTAAGTATCGAGACATCCTAAAAAAACTACGTATGTTCTTTTCCACTCAAAAAATATCTACAGAGCACTTACTACTAACAAAGCATTATAGAAAAACAAAATAATTATTAGAATTGGTCTCTGCTTTGACAGGACTAATAGTCTAGAAAAGGAGACAAAACACCTACAAAAATTACTTTCTACCTACAATGAACATACAGCTTGACTGAACCCAGGATATAAATTATTGAGAATCTCAAAAGTGGTAAGACTCGGAAGGCCTGGCAATCTACTTCCACAAGATCAGCCATTGAAAACTCTATGGAGCACAGTTCTACTTGGACACACATGGGGTTAACACGAGTCTAGCTCGCTGGTAGAAGGTGTGGAAAATCGGTGACTCTTTTGAAGTGTGGAAAATTGAAGATCTTTATACTCTTTGATCCAGCACCTACTGCTAGACATGTACCCCAGGTGTATACTCATACAAGTTCACTGAGATATCTGTATATAGTTGTTGTATGCCGTCGAGTTAGAGATTCTAACTCATAGTGACCCTATAGGACAGAGTAGAACTTACGCCATAGGGGTTCCTAAGCTGTAAGTCTTTACAGGAGCAGACTGCCAGGTTTTTTTTTCCCCACGGAGCCGCTACTGGGTTTGAACCTCCAACCTTTTGGTGCTTAACCATTGCACCACCAAAGTGATCCCTTAAGCTATCTGTATAAGCCACTGCTGTCCAGTCGATTCCAACTCATAGTGACCCTACAGGACAGAGTAGGACTGTCCCATAGAGTTTCCAAAGGCTATAATCTTTACGGAAGCAGCCTGCCACATCTTTCTCTTGCAGAGCAGCTAGTGTGTTTGAAGTGTTGAATCGTGGACCTTTTGGTTAGCAGCCGAGAGTTCAACCATTGCACCACCAGGGCTATCTCTTAAGATGCCTGCATAGGGAGGTTTATTGCAGCAGTGTTTTATATAATAAAAGCCGAGAAATAAGGAATCCCCAACAGAGAACGATTAAGTCAACTGTGGTCCATCCTGTAAACGCTCTGCAGTGTCTAAGACTGGGGTAGTGCTGCATGTGCTGAAATGAAACGGGGTCAAAAGAGGAAGCCGCAGATCTCTGTGCATAGACCTATCCCTCTGGCATAACTCTTTAAACGCACATACATACCCTCACCGGTATAAGCATGGAAAAATTTTCCGGAAGCATGCACCAAAAATACTGTTAAATAAAATTGCCTCTGGCAAGAGAGACAGGTGGGGAAAGGGAGGCTTTCACTTTTCATTTTGTACTTTTCTGTTCTGTTTGAGTTTCTTATCATGAGCGCATAGTAACTAATTTTTGAAATGTCATCAGGAAATGTCTGGGTGTGGGATTTAAGGCCAATTTAGTTTTGTTCTGTATACTTCTTTACACATTTTAAAAAAAAAGTGATAAGGAAGTGTTATTTATGAAAAAGATCACTGAAAATTAACTTTTTCTGGAACAGAGTTCAATTCGTAATTGTATGTGCTCCTTCTACTCAAATTTCCTCATTACTAAGAGGCAAATATTTGGATAATTGCATCTATATCCAACTGTGATTGTTTTATACAACTGCGCAGCAAACGATGCGAAACAAGCCCATCAAAATTTCCCATATTAACAAAGTTAATTAACCAAAAACATTGTGACAGTATGACTTTTAGCAAAAGAAATATAATACTAGTATTTTCCCACTTTACAATCAGACTACTATTTATTTAAAGAGATCCTGAGTGGCCTATATTCTAACAAAAAATAGGAAGAGATGAAGCTTAAAACCCCATTCCTAGCACTCTGCTTGGAGAACTTCGCTCTCAGCACATCTTGAAAGTAGATGACAGTATCAATGTCTTACAACAGTCTACATATTTGTAAATATATTTTGCACACCATTCTATTTTGGTTTTTAAGTAAAATGAGCATTTCTTACATCAGTGATTCCTGATATGTTCACATCATTCCCAAAATTTTAGTATTGTGGCATTCAAAGTCTTACTTATGTGAAAAAGGAAGTCTTTCATTTACATGGAAATCTTTAAAAAACCTCAAATTTTTAAAAACATAGTATCTATAGGAAAAAATAAAGCAAGTTTATCCAAAGAACAGAATAGTATGGAAAAAGGTAAGGTGCAAAATGTTCAATGTATCTAACTGGCTCAAAATCTGCAGAACTCTGATTACTACAAAAGTCAATTTTTTAAGTAAAATGGTTTAGCATGTTGTTGAAAACTGACAACTGATTAAAAACAAACCAATCAATTATATCAGGTAATTTAGATGGTTACTATAAAAAGCACTTTTCTGCAAAAATATTAAGACTTAACATTTTAATTACATTTGTGTAAAACACGAATGAAAGGGAAGGAGACAGAAAGAAAGATGAAAAGAAAGAGCAATGCACAGTAAACAGTACCTTTGTTGATGATGGTGGAGTAGGAAAATTAAGCCAGGCTGGAGCAAAGTCATGCTGCGCCATTTAGGTCCAGTCTCTCCGACTCAGTGAAACAAGGCTTCAACACCTCATGGCAAGTCCCTGTCACATAAAAATGGAAGGAAATTAGACCTGCAGCTCTGGGCCAAAATTACGTTCCTTCTTAAAATTACAATAATCCTACTATTAAGATCCTACTTATAATGAAATTCTAAAAAAGGTAAAACTATAGTGATAGAAAGCAGACAAGTGGTAGCTGGGGTTGGGGGACAAGCGAAGAGGAATGACTGCAAGCGGAAGAAGGGGAACTTTTCAGGTAATGGGAATGTTCTATTATCTTAATTGTAGTGATGGTTATACAACAACTGTATATATTTGTCAAAACTCATCAAACTGTACACTTAAAACTGGTTAATTTTATTGTAAATAAACTACACTTCAATACGGTTTGTTTTAAAAAAATTACAATGGTCTTATCGCGAAGAGACAACTAGACACATCAAGAGTCTCCTGATGTGATGAAATCCGATGTACACAGCACCATCCATGATATGTTCTTGCCCCCATCTCAAATCAAATCTGATCTACCAATTTGCAGAAAACACAAGGTAGAGAAAGGAGTTAAAGGACAGCTGCAAGTAGTAGTCTGCCAAATCCAGATCACAAGATATTCTATGGATCAAATTATTTGGTTTCTTCAGCAAATAAATGGCTTAACAGATCAATATGCTGTGTGGATCTTGTATGGATCCTTAAACAAACCAATTGTTAAAAAAAAAATTATGAAACAATCGGAAATTTGAACACAAGTTGGATAAGGACATTAACCAAAACCAAACCCACTGCGATTGAGTCAACTCCAGCTATAGCAACCCTGTAGGACAGAGTAGAACAGAACTGCCCAACAGGGTTTTCAAGGCTGTAAATCTTTACAGAAACCGACTGCCACATCTTTCTCCTACAAGGCAGCTGGTGAGTTCAAACTGCTGACCTTCAGTTAGCAATGGAGCCCTTAACCACTGCACCACCAGGGTTCCTTGTTAATGACACTTAAAAAAAAAAAAAAAAAAAACTGTTGCAGTCGAGTTGATCCTGACTCATACCGACCCTACAGTACAGCGAAGAACTGCCCCCATAGGGTTTCCAAGGAGCGGTTGGTGGATTCAAACTGCCAACCTTCTGGTTGGCAGTTGAGCTCTTAATCACTGCACCACCAGGGCTCTGATAATGACACTAAGGAATTATTAATTATTTAGATGTCATAACAGTGTAATGGTTATGTTTAAAAAGAAAGATACATATGGAAATCTTGGCAAATGAATTAATAATGTATCTGGGATTTGTTTTAGAATATACCAGGGAGTGTTGACTGGGGGTAGTAATTGAAACGAGTTTGTTCTTATGTTTGTAAATGTTGAGGCTGTATGTTGGTACAAGAAGTTTTATAATACTATTGTCTTATATGCCTGAAAATTTCAGTAATAAAAGGTTTCTTATTTTAATTACAATCATCACAATGGGTATCTTAAATATTTTAGACACTATTGTTCTTATGCATTCTAAATTTAGTTTTTCAGGAGCTTGTCTCAATTGCATCAGTAAGATTCAAGTTGTCAGCCCAATCTAAACACAGCAAATTCGTAATTTTTTTAAGAGAGGCAGAAGTCAAATGGGCAACCGTACACTCATTTCAGTGTAGCATTTTATTAGCCAATCTTCCTAAATCAAATTTGCTAAACATCAAAATGGCTATGCTTACCAATAGCAAATGTTTTATATTTACAATTGCTTAGTAATCTCAAAGTGAAACTGAAAAGTAATGAAATGAGCCTGGATCATCAAAGGAAGAAGGAGAGTCAGGAACAGGAGGATATGGAATGCATGGCTAACTGCCTCCATAAACCTCCTTACCATTAGAAATACTGGATGATGCTCGCTACCATATTACTGGACATTTATTTTGATCAAAGATTCTAAAGAAGAATTTTAATCAAAAGGGGGTAAATGTAGAACAGAATTCAAATTCTAATGGACTCTAGACTTTCTAGAGCCATGGAGGGCTGGATGAACCCCTGAAACTAGTGCCCTGAGAAAATCTTTAAACCTTAAACCAAAGATGTTGCCTGAAGTCTTAAAACCAAAAATTAGTTTAGCTTAACTAGTAAAGAATGTCTGCCTTGAACATTGTGGTCTTTTAAGGTCTATCTATATGGTTATCAAATTGACAACAGCAACTTGAAAGATCAGATAGGAACCTTAGGGAGCACTGAGTTTATGTTAATGGGGGAGGAACAACTTGGTAAATGAGGGTGAGATGACTGCACAACTTGAAGAATGTAATCAATGTCACTGAAATGTACACGCAGAAACTGTTGAATTGGTGTATGTTTTGCTATGTATATTCTCAACAACAACAAAAAAAAACTTTTTAAAAAGCATTAAAAATAAAATGTAAATCAATTATAGATTTTAAAAAATAAAAAGATTAATACTATTGTTAATCTTATTTCAAAATTCTTTTCTGAAACGTAAATGTTAAAGCAGAGTTTTAAAAAGCCGTATCAATTTCCTAAAACAGTGAAGGAAAAAAAAGGATTTGCCAGATATTAAGAAATACTCTAATTCTGCTATCCCAAATTGTGATAATCTATTAAAAGAAAGGTTAAGAGTGACCATATATCAGAAATAAATACAACTGATTAACTCATGGTGGAAGTAAAAATGTTTAAAATGCTAGATGCTCATATAGACTGGGAAAGGGGAACTAATACAATTTGAAAAATTAGGACAAACTCTATTTAAGAAACAAATACAAGTTTTGCTCTTAGGAGTATGTATACCTAATCAAAATTAACTACAGAACAAAAATTTCAGGCATTCTGAGCTGTAATTCTACTATCAACTTGAATTAATTTCGAAGTCTTGTGGAAAAAATGACATTAATAGTTTTTAGAGTTTATAAAGCATTTTTACATTCTCTCTCTAAACACAAAACACTGCTTTGTGATTTGTACTTTTCTAGCAAATTTTTGTTGGAAACTCTTAAATTACAGTCCCAATAACTCAATGGGAATGAAGAAGTATTTTTAGAGCTTACACCAAATAAAAATTGAAACTCCAGAGAGTCCAAAATAACCAAAAATTAAAAACTTATTTAAAAAAGGATCTCATTCAAAATAATACTTAAGTGAATATAATTACCTACTAAAAGTTATTCCTTGGAGGTAAACCACTAAAATCACCTATTCATTTCTGTAATGTCTATAAATTTTAATTCAATTATAATTTTTAAAGAATAAAGTATAAATACGTAATGGCAGAAGTTAATTCATGTTCTGAAAAAGGATAAAAAGTAGTAACAGTTAATATTATGGCATTTACACAGCAAATGTCTACAGGCAAATTAAAGTTTAAAAAATCCACCCTATTTGATTCATTTTAACTGTTTTGTCTCATCTGATTTTCATTTCATCTTCCTTTCCCTGTGTAACAGCAACTATAGTAATGCACTAACTAGAACTACCTATATATTTCCCTTACACATATATCAAATAGTGCACACAGGAGCCTACCACTACCAAAAAAAAATCAGTAGTCCTATGAATACTCCAGAACCAGAATTCCAACTTACAGGAATCTTCTACCAGATTCCATTATAAGGTCTGAAGGACTCACGTGGGCAGAAAGAGTTAAGATTTTTAAGTACTGCCCGAATAAAAATAACCTTAATTTCTCATCTCTCACCAAATCTGCAACTGGTTCGTGGATCCATGCCTGAAGTTTCAACCACTGACAATAAAAATTTCCCCAGGGGGAAACAGGTCCTGAAAAAAATCCTAATCTGAATTCTATACATTTTTAAGTGTACGTACCTGACTTTTAAGAAACAAATCAATGCAACAAATTAATGATTCAAAATAGCAAGTCCTAAATATTATTCGAGAATTGAAAAATAATATGCTTTCGCAAAAAATATAGAAATAAATGTAATTTTTCCTATCTCTTGTAATATTTTACTTCTGAACCCATCAAATTTGTGCCATGTTTTCAAAGAAAAACCTACTGAAAATGATTTCATAAGAAGGAACGTCAAATTTATTATCTTTACAATGGTTTATATTTCAGAGAAACAGGCTTTCAAAATCACAATGCCTGTTTAAAAAACACAGAATAACTAAGTTAAGGCATTGGGTTTCAAAGCCAAATAGTGCTGGTTTAAATCTTAGCTCAGACAGTAACTAGGCTGGATAACCTCATTTTCTTCTAAAATTGGGGTACTACTGTTTACTTTGCAAAATTCTGCCTAAAAACTGTTAATAAAGTCATAAGAATACAACTACCCATTACTGACAGACCATCTATACAACCCTTGAAATCAGGTTAAGCTTTTCAAACATTTAGTCAAAGAGCTAACTAACATTCCCAAATTAAAATGGTAAGAACCAGAGAAAACTGTTTAAATTCATTTTTAGTTTTCTGCTGTGGAATAGTATCCCATTAAATATAAACCTAGTTTAATCTATTAATACCAAAAACCAAATCCACTGCCGTCAAGTCAATTCCAACTCACAGCCACCTGGTAGGACAAAGTAAAACTGCCCCATAAGGTTTGCAGGGCCATAAATCTTTATGGAAGCAGACTGCTACATCCTTCTCCCGCAGAGAAGCTGGCAGGATGGAACCTCCTTGTAGTTAGCAGCCAAGCACTTAACCAGTGAGCCATCAGGACTCCTAACATATTAGGATTCATTGAAGAACTGGGTCTTCCTCTTCCCAGTTCAGACTTACAATCATTATGTGGAGCAGAGCAAAAGAGTCAAGAGGGTGTCCACACATGTGGGTGGTTCAGTGTGGGGTATCAGAGATAAAGCAGGGTAAGAAGGCCTTCCACACAAAGCGACAGCCAGGGATGGGGTGTTGTGCCCAAGAAGAATGAGAAAGACATCCCTGTGAAAGGAGGGAGGTAGTGGAAATGGGGAGTCAGAGCCTAAGCTGAGAAAAGGGGTATTCATGTAGGGGAAGTGGCAGTGACAGCTATAAAAAATTGGTTATACAATACAGGGGAACTGATCAAACAGTAAATATATTTAGAATAATGAAAG